AAATGAACTGTTGTAAATCGAGGACTACCGGTACCTGTATTCTCTCCCTAACTCCCTGCAATACTTTAAAAGATAAACAATTTTTAGTGATTAAGTAGAAAAATTTCAGCAGTCTTCATTTCAAAGCAACCTATTCAGCAATCAAATTATGCAACTTGGGTGGAATTTCTAAATGTGCATATTTCATGGGGCTAGAGTAGCAGAAGCTCTCAGATTAATACAGGTAGTCCTCCACTTACAACTGTTCATTTAGTGACCATTCAAAGTTACAATGGCACTGAAAAAATTATGACCATTTTTCACACACATGCCTTCCAAGCATCCTTGTGATCATGTTGTGATCCCAATTCAGGTGCTTGGCAACTGGTTCATATTTATAACCATTGCTGTGTCCCAAGGTCATGTGATCAACTTTTGCGACCTCCTGACAAGCAAATTCAATGGGGAAGCCAGATTCACTCAACAACCAGGTTACTAACTTATCAACTGCAGTGGTTCGCTTAACAACTGAGGCAAGAAAGGTTGTAAAATAGGGCAAAATTCACTTAACAAATGTCTCACTTAACAACAGAAATGTTGGGCTCAGTTGTGGTCGTACGTTGAGGACTACCTGTATACATCCTACCTTTTCCTCAATGACTCCTAAAGCCACTACACATTGCCCATATAACTGTTAATATTCATAGTTACCTATGACAGTTTTAGGCTTGAGATCAGTTTTTCCAATTCTGAGCTACAATCTCTTGACCAGCCTTCCCTTCGGATGTGTTAAACTACAGTTTCATAATCAAAAACATCTGAAAAATAACCCACTGCAAAAAAGGAGAACACGGTACTATGTTTAATGCAACTTCAACATTCAGTCATCGCTGCTTGGCATTGTCCCTTGTGAATTTTAAGTGTTTGAGCAGATAAGCTGAAAAGCTGTAGAAACTATCAACAGAATATGAGAGTGAAAGAAAGCATGAAATAGCTTCACAGTTACTGTGAATTGTTATGGCTGAATTAAAACTGGGCTACTTATTTCAGATCTTCCTTCCTTCCTTCCTTCCTTCCTTCCTTCCTTTTTTATCAGCGGGGACTTACAAACATAAAGGTTTTCAAATGCTACGCAGTCTCTGGCCCTTCTGTCTATATTTAACTGGGTTATAAAGTCTGCCTTTGCCAAGTCTGAATATAATAGAGCTTTATATGACAACAATTGCACAAGCATGCCTAGAGAGACATACATACTCATTCACACCCAAAAACAGAGAGATCTAGTTGTTCCTTAATGGCCTTCTTTAGGAAAAGACCTTGTATACAATTGCCAGGGTACCAAATTCCTTCTTGCTCTCTCAGGATCTCACTTTGCACACAGATTTTAGTTTCCACAGCTTCCAGCATGTGATGAGTGATAGAAATCCTGCTTGTGAAACCAGCGAGTGAATCCCATCAGGTCACGGGGACTCCCATTGCATTTCCTATCACACATTCTTTCTGGACCATGAATAAAAGTTTGCAAATAAAGGGGCAACTTTGTTGTTGTTTTTGCTTCGCCCTTGACAATAGCAATGCATTTGCACCTGACTGCACTGGGTTCTAAAATTACTACAGTATTCATTCCTCCCCATCCAGCGATAGCCAGAAGGAAATCACCTGCATTCTCATTCATGGTGGGGGAGACAACAGATGTGGCTCAACAAACAGTAAAAATCAAATATTTATATCAAGCTTTCAACTCCCCCTCTTCTCCCAGCCCTAGATACATTGCCAGCAAGAACAACAATTATTTGGTAATTTTCCAAGTCCATTAGCAATATGTTATAGCAAAAGTGGAAGACAAGAAGGGAATGTGATTCTTGAGTCTGCGTTTGTCAAAGAACTATACAATCCACAAGAGTTAAAAAGAGGATGCTCATTGCACAGTACATTAATGAGAAAGCCTTTTACTTTCTATCTTGTCTCATCCTAAGGTCTTAATGAAGTTGAGGGTGATTGAGAAGCTGTTCCATAAAAACATTTTAAAATACTCATTAAAAGGTTCATTTATTTATTGTGGTCAAAGACCAAAACACAACATTGGCAAAATTGGTAAAAATTATGCGCTACTCTAAACATATTAATTACAAATAGTCATTTTAATAGGGATTATACAGACAATGCAACAATATTTAGAGACATCTAATGAGATCACTTCAGCCTTAGCTGACAATAGATACTAAAGATAGAATAAATCTGAATGCCCTGAAAAAGCATTTAATAATAGGCATATATGTATATATCATGAACGGACATCCTTGTGACAAGTACATAAGCCCATTCCTCATAAGCAAAACCAATAGTTAAAAGACATAATATTGAATATTAGCAAAATAAAAATAAAAATAAATGCCAGGACAGCTTAAACTAATACCAATTAGTCCAAATTAGATCTGACAGCATTGATGGAACAATCTAAATCAGGCTCTAAAGAGTTTTCAGAGTGTGATGGTTATTACAGACCATGGATATATTCTCTCTCTCTCTCTCTTTTATGGGCTCTTGACTGAAGCTGGGGAATGATTTGCAAATCCTCCATGACTTAAGTCTTAGTGTGAAACAAGAAATACAATAAATCAGGTGGCATTTGTCACTGTCATGTTACCATCTGAAGGGCCATAGTAGCAACAAAAATTAGTACGAAGTTGCCTTATGTTGATTTATCATTCTGACTGGCAGCAGATCTTTAAAATCTCCACAACAAAAATGTAAAGAGTCAATATTTTTTCAAAACTCCTGAAAGATTTATGAAACTAGGAAGTTGAGTCTTTACAACTGTTTTTTCTAACGTCTAAATTTATTGAAATCCATAGATATACGCAAACAGCATTTTCATTTGCTAAAGAAGTAAAAATCCTGGTGCTCTTCAGTTGTTTTAGCTTATAAATATTTTTTAGCTTCTCGGCAGCAGTCTTATGAACCTAAAAAAAAGATACGGCTGCTTTAATATGTTGCAGTATGTTACATTTGTGCTTCCATGTATTCTTAAAGTACCAGTATATCTTCAAGACTGAATTCCCCAAAGGGGACGGCCTTAATAACCCTGCATATCATCGCAGCAGGCCAGCTTGTAAACTGAAGAGCCAACTGAACAACATTGCCTTTTTCACATTTAAAATATTCAGTATTTTTACCTCAATGACAGAACCGTTTTTCTCTTCAATTGTGGATTATTAATAAACAATCACAAAATGAAGGGACAACCCAATGGAGTCCAGCCACAATTTTCATTGTTAAAAGTGTGGGAGCTCACATTTTTGGTAAATTGGATTATGATTATGATTGTATCTGCCTGTGCCTTCCTATCTGTTCCCCTATAAAGGTCTTTTAAAACTAAATGTTGCATCTATCTATCTACAGGCAGACATAAACACATATTTATAAACAAACTGAATATCATTTATGTATCTTATTCTTGTAATAACAACTCTTAACGCAAAATTGCTGCTCAAGAGTATACTTCAATAGGAATCAGTATACTGATTTCAATTTTTTGTTAGTTTATCAAAATATAAGATACAGAAGTACAAAGAAAAATGAAAATAATGAGAAAGTACGGAAGGAGAGGAGGGAGAGGAAAAACTGTAGGGTAAACTTCCAATTCTTTAGCACAGTAGAATAAGGTAGTAACGTACAAACTCAACTTTTTACTTTTACATAATAATATATACTAACCATTTCTATAACAACAACCCTATCTAATCAGCAAAACACAAATTCATTTTTTCCACCTCAAGCACAAAGTCCAAAAGCATTTTTCCAAGGAGAAACAAAGATGTATTCTTTTCTTTAATCAAAACAATCGATTTAGTCATCTCTAACTCCATCAACTTTTGTAGCCATTCGTCCATTGTGGGACTCAAAGTATCCTTTCATTTTTCTGCAGAGTATTCTTACTGATGTCAGCATATATATCATCAAAGTTCCATTTATTTTTTCCAGTAGAAATCAGCATACTGTGGGCCCTAGGAAAGGGTGGATCTCAAATGACAAGCCATTTTTAGTTATTCATCCTTCTATTTTCTATTTACACCTTTCTTTTTCACTTGCTGATGTGAGATCATTGACACAGAATGTGCAGACTTACTGTTGGTAACAGCATTGTTCACTATTGTCGGTTTTTTGAAATTTAGTACTTGTGTTGCTACATGTATTGTCACTTGTATACTTCAGGGAACCAATTTCCAGTCACCATTCTATTCTTGGGACCAGGAAGGCAGGGACTAATTGTTGATCAGGAAGCAAAAGCGGTAAAAGTCTCTCACTAGCTATCAGCATGCAGGAGATGGAGGTGGCACGTAGCCTCCTGCCAGCTGACTGTTGGCATGCACAAGATGGCAGGGTGAAGGCAGGTGAATATGCTCCGAACCAGCTGATTGTCAGCATGCACAAAGAGGCAGGAACTAAGGAGGCAAGCAAGCTATTACCAGCTGATTGTTGGGGGTGTGTTAGGAGGCAGAGCAGCGAGCAACCTGTCACAAGCTGTCAGCGTGCATAGGGAGGCAGGAGTTGAAATGGCATGCAGACTTTTTCCAGCTGATTGTTGGCATGCATGGAGAACTGAGGTGGAGGCAGCAAACAGCTGGCTTTCCACATGCACAGGGAAGCATGGACTAAGGCAATGAGATAGTCTCAATAGCTGACTATGGCCACTCATGCAGAGGCAGGCAAAAATAGCAGGCAGATTCTGGCCTATGAATTGTGGCATACTACTTGAGGATGCACACACCACACGTTAAGAAGCACGGGACTAGACTGTATCACTGCACAAGAGAAATAATGACAAACAATGCAGTGTGCTTACATTTGCTCTTCTCCACAGCTATAAATGATTAAGTACTGGAACGATCAGGCTCTAGAACGATCATATCAATAGGGTGATGTTTTTCTTTATAGAATTAATATAGCCAATGCTATAAAGAATGGCATCGCTATCAAAAGCCCTCTTTCTACTTCCAGGAAGAAATCGCTAGCCTGAAATGAATCAGTGGAGCAATAGTTTCTTCTTGAGAACTAAGTGTAACCAGGAGAAGAAACAAAGAAAAAGATTTTAAAAGTACTATAGTGGCAGTGAGCACTAAGTGATTGCTAGCAATTGGCAGGGCCCTCAGCACTGAAGGTACAGTAAAACACACTCTATCCAGCAGAGATCAGAACTTAACTTCCATTATCACAATGCTGCCTTCTAATACAATACACAGAAGTCCTACAGAGCACAGAGTAAATACAGCCCATGCAGCAGCCCTCCTCTACAAAAGAAATGTGAATAAACCAAAAACACAGGGTAACAGATGGAAGGACAGTTTTAACCAAGCAACATTCAGTGAAGGAAACTGGCATTCTAAATCTAGTCTTGCCTAACTCCAGGCAAACATCTCTGGGCATTAAATAGCTTTATTCTAGCAGAGAAGAGGAGATAAAATATTACATACCTAGCATGAGAATGAGAAATGTGAGTCCCTTCTCCTTCTTTTCCCTTTCATAGATCAAATTCTAAAATAAAGAACTGAACATATCTAGTAGGCCAGCCCAAGAATGGCAAACTGCAAGAACTGTATCATATATACAGAATCTTGCCAGACTAAACCTATACGTCTCTAATTCTAACAGATATACTCTGGGAAGTTCTAGGGAGATTTTAGGCTATCCTAAATTTCTTTCTCTGCATTTGATCCAGCTTCAGGCTGTGTTACCTCCTGTCTTGCCCCACTACTTGAAATGTGTTTCTTCCTTCCTGGGAGAGTATCATTTCACTATAGTCCATCACACCATTTGTTATTGAGCACAATAATTATCAATAGGTTTACTTCAAAACTTCATTCCCAGAAAGGTCTTTTTATTACTGTAGGACATTAACATCTCTTTTAACAATATAGAACTTTAAAAACTACTTTGCACAATCAAATGTCATATTTAAAACAATATCTCTTCATATTCCCTTATGAGAAATGGTAGTAAGTGATAGAAATAATAGAAATTGTACAGGATAAAATACATTCCTTTTTTTTATTGGCTGCTCAGACTTTAGTTGCTTCTGTGGCGTTACATCACATCACTTATATCAAACCACGGTGAGGGCTATAAATTATATGGGTTGCATAACCCTACTGATATGTAATAAAATCATTTCATTTTGTACATTTAATAATTTTGTTTTCCTCATAACAATGAGAATTAAGAAGGGTCTTAGGGTCAGTATGTTTCAATAATCTGAATTTTGCCAATCTTTGATGTGTACAGAGTGAAGCTATTGGAAAAAATTATTTCAACTTTTACAAAGTAGACAGATATTAAGACAGGAACATTCCTGGCAAGTTTCCCCTATCTAGTTGTTTCTGACTCTGGGGGGTGATGCTCAACTCCATTTCTTAGCTGCGGAAGCCAGCGTTGTCTGAAGACATTTTCTATGGTCATGTGGCCAGTATGATTATACACCGAGGCACACGGAACGCTGTGACCTTCCCATCCAAGTGGTAGCTATTTATCTACTCGCATTTGCATGCTTTCAAACTGCTAGATGGGCAGTAGCTGGGGGCAAGTAACTGGAGCTCATCCCGTCACACAGCACTTGGATCAGTGGTGGGTTTCAAAAATTTTTACTACCAGTTCTGTGGGTGTGGCTTGGTGGGCATGACATGGCTTGGTGGGCGTGGCAGGGGAAAGATACTGTAAAATCTCCATTCCCACCCCACTCCAGGGGAAGGATACTGTAAAATGTCCATTCCATCCCCAAACCAGGGGAAGGTTACTGCAAAATCCCCATTTTCTCCCAATTAGCTGGGACTTGGGAGGCAGAGATGGGGGCGGGGCCAGTCAGAATTTTTACTACCGGTTCTCCGAACTACTCAAAATTTCCACAGAACTGGTCAGAACCTGTTGAAACCCACCTCTGGCTTGGGTCTTCATTCCAGCTTGAATCTGCATTTGTATTTAACAATTGAGCATCCCCTATGGTTTATGGAGGGAGATCCTGTTAGAAAGAGATATTACCATGATCAAGAAGCACAATCTGATAAACTCAAATATATCTCTCAAATTCTAATTTCATAGGAGTCAAATTCTCCTAAAAGAAAGCATTGAATAATCATTTTCACATCTCAGTTATGTCCTCATATTGAACAGCTACACAACATGCCCTAATATATTATTCCTGCTTGAGAAAATGCAACAATTGCTTTGGTATGTCAACACCTCCTGGAGGACCATCAAGTTTGAATTTATTTAGAGAACAGATACTGAAAAATTATTATAAACCTGGAGCAAGCTGATCTTTTTTAATCAGCATTCAGCTGGGTAGAATTACCATTGACTTGTCTTTCATACTGCTGGACTAGCCAATGCATATAAAAATGTGATGATATATTTAGAATCAGGTATGTATTATATTCACTTTAAATTAAAAAATCCTGCCTCAGGGAGGAAGCTTCTACTAAGGTCAAGCCATTAATGTCTCATTAGCAATGCGTCATATTTGAAAACCCAGATCTATCACTTTTTCAAGGTAAACATATAGGCTATCTACGAGCCTTTATCATCATGTACCAGTCAAAAACAATTTTAATTAACAGGTTAGAGAATTGGGGTTTTGTGACTTTTCATGTTATGTTGAAATGAACTGAAAAATCAGTATGTCTTATGTAAGTGAGTATGGATCACAGAATTGAAATGAATTCAAGATCATATCCTCCTCTTTACTTCCAAGAATATTTTTTTTCTGAAAAACTGTAGCCTTACAAGTAGCTAAGCCTCAGGAAGTAGAGAGACATTTATTGATAAATTGTGCAGGCAGCCAGAAGCACATTTACTAAATGGCTGTCTGAAAACAGTTTCCAACTAACCTCTGGAATCGTAAATAAATAAAAAGTAAAACCCTTGAAAATACAGTTATACCCACCATGCTATCTCTGTCTGTGAACATACAAAGATATAAAAACAGACAACCCTTTAAAGGTGTTTTTCTCACTTACCAACTCAGTTTTGTTGGAAAGAACCAACACCGCAAGATATATTCTTACAATCTAGAATTGTATGTCTCAGACTCTCTTCTTAGAATTCTAATGGTTAATCATCCCTACGATTGCCACCAGTTGCAATTTATTTTATTTTGTATAAATAATCTGACAGTCTTTGCACTAATTTATAATGGTGACTGATGAGGGAAGATGCCCAGTCAGAGATGTCCTAGGACAGGGCTTCTATTATTGTCTTTTCCATAGGCCTATATTGTATTACAACACTTTACACACACTGTATCCATTTTTTTCAATATCTATCACTGATTTATGCAAGTGAGAACCAACATGGCATAATAGTTAAATTGCTGCACTAAGAGTCAGGTCCAAATCCAGCTTTAGCCATAGAAACTTATTAAGGTGACTTTGGGCCAATCATTATCTCTCTGCTCAACTTACCTGAGCACTATCAACATGGTGGGGGAGGGAATGGAGGAAGGAGAACTATACTGTATATGTTGCCTTCAACTCCTAGAATAGTGATGACGAACCTTTTAGACACCGAGTGCCCAAACTGTGTGTGTGCTCATGCCCAAACTGAAAGGCGTACATGCGCACACATGCGTCAACATGTATGCATGCAGATATGCGCGCGATGCGCAGCAGAGATCCAAAGACCAGCTGGCCGATGGGAGGTGGGGCATCCCAACACCAGCAGCGCGGCAAGAGGTAAGATCTTTTTTTTCCATGAGCTTCTGTTTCATCGTTTGCAGGGAAACTGAAGCTCACGAAAGAAACGCCACAGAGATCTGACCTAGGGTGACAGTGCCCGTGCCAGCAGAGAGGGCTCTGCATGCACCTCTGGCACGCGTGCCATAAGTTCACCATCACGGTCCTAGAAGAAAGGGTAGACATTTAATGTCTATGTAATTAAAAAAAAAAGATTATGAAGAAACTGCTCAACTTTAATATATTTAAGACGTATATTTGTATGCATTTATTTTTTTTAGTTTTGATCAATTCTTTACTTGTAGTCTTAATTATACTTTGTGACATGAACACATAGGAAATAAAAAGAGAACAGCAACGGAACTTGTTCAGGGGCAATACTTGATCCTGAGTCTGACTATGGCATCAAAAATGAAATTATTACAGAAAAATAGCATGTTTTCAATGTTATAGATTTTGTTAAGAAGCTAAGTCCATACCTTTTGAAAAGTTTGGAACGAACCCTTCTCTAGGATATGAAGTTGAAGTGTATCTGTGGTACTTTTAATTAAATTGCTTCTTCAAGAGAAGAGAAAAGCATTATAATGCATTTGCCAAGGATAGCTTCTGTGAAGTAGGAAAATATCACACTTGAGACTAATTCTAAGATACAACATGCAATCAATGAGCCTTAAGCTTAGAATAAATATGAATTTCTGCCATATTACTTTGGATATTTAGTAGGTGAAAAAAAGTAGATAATTTACAACTTTACAAAGTCATAATTTACAACTATAGTTATATTATACAGCAATTATTCACAATGTTAAAAGGCATTAGCCTACTGATTCATAACCAAATAGCAGGAGATCCATACTGAAATAAATGAAACAATGACAGTATTTTTCATATGTGTACTAATAAGAATATTTTTTATATTAAATAATTGTTTTGCAGTAAAAACACAAAATTAAAGGTTTTCTTGTACAAATAAACCAACTGAGCCATCCCGCATAAGAAAAGCTATACTGTATGTATGTAAGAGGCATTTATGAATGACTCCTTTATTGGAATGAAACCAACTGATACACTAAACATTCACATATATGCACTGATTAGATTTACAAATAAATTTCTTTCCTAGCTTTTTTACTTCTGATCCTTTAACTGGAAATGCCAGTTTGAAGGGTCAAACTGGGTCAAACACAACCATTCCATCAATTATACCAAAATCACCATAAAGAGGATGGCACCTGAACATCCATACTGCATTTGAAGGAGCCTGATACCTAGATGGATTGATGCGGTCAACTTTGACAAAAAATAATAAAATAAATTCCTCCAATCACTTTGTTTGGAAGAATGAGTAAATTCAAGCTCCTTCTCTTCCCCTCAAACAGGTGTTTGACATCAAAGTTGGTCATCTGTCTGATGGGCACATAAGCACATCGCTCTTTGCCCCACTGATGGCTTTTTAGATTGGAGCCATCACATATGAAATCAAAACCCAGAAATGTTCAGCCAACCAGGTGAACCAGCGATGTCACCTCCGATAAGAAATCAATAATGAGGAAGTACATATTCAACAGCGAGCAGATAGATACAAGAATCAGGCTGCAGAAACGGAGAAGAAATCATTAAATAGATTTAAATTAGAAATGAGACTGAGATAGTTAGCATCTGCTCCTCAGCGTTCTAAGTTCATGAGTTGGAATCATGGACTACTTTATTAAAATAGGGAATTATGCAGGTTTCTTTACCCAAACAATGATATGTGTAAATTATCAATTAATGATGGGCACTCTTTGTTTATGGAGTGTCTGCAAGATTTGTCCCCAGTAATAAAAATATTGTACAGGAAAAAAGAGAGCACTGGTTTATGTTCTTTTTATGTATTTTAAGCTCCTCTGTTAGGGCTCATGGATTGTTTCTAATCCAGCAAACCACAAAGGAGTACAATCCAAACCATAATACAACTGGTTTGAAATTTTAAAAAGCTCATTTTTTTCCCAAAGAAACCAATCTGAAGGAAATTCGTGTCACTTCATGACACAAGTTTCTCTAATCTATAAAGAATGTACTCTATAAAATACTGGCATGAACAGATTTGCTTAGCATTCGGAGGTTTTGCTCAGATGGAAACCTAATGGCTATTAGCCATGTAGAAAAGAAATACTAGAACTTTTCTTGCTACACAATAGAAAAACAGTAACTTCTGCTTGCTACCATTCAGGGTTAATTCTGCTGTCTGGCTCTCAGATCAATCAATCGACATCAGAGACTGAGCTAGAGAGCCAATTTTCAGGAATAAAACATAGTCTTTTTTTGACAATGACTTGCTGAAGTTATCATTTTCTTTCTGCTGATCTACCAATGTAAGCAATTTTAATGTATTGCTTCAAGCTAATGACATCATAGTTTTCAATCAACAATTCCTGAAGCGTTTAAAAAAGGCTGATTTTCAAAATTCTCCTGTAACTTACATGGGCTGATTTCATAAACTTTGTTTTTCCACTTCACTTTCCTTCCTCCTCAGCTCAGTTATGTAATCCCAGCACCACTGATAACGTCATGACACTTAGTATGATTTAAATTGCCTTAATGCAATTTGTGAGAAGTGTTTTGGTTCAAGATTAAACCATTCCATTACCTCCCCATATCTACATCTCCTTTCTGGATTTTTTGGTGGATGTAAAACTGTCAATTATATTTTTAAAAATCATGCATCCTTTTTATGCCTATATGCAGTCTACATTTCTGATCATAGTAATATTTTAATATAGTTTATTTTGTTTGAATCAGGAAGTGAACCACCAATGAGATTATTTATTTTATCCATGTTTGTGCCTGTATACCTGTTCCCCCTCCTTTTCCAACCAGTCTATTTTACCTCTCTCATTTTTTGCCTATTTAGTTAATCAACAATGTGCCAGTGGACACTCCATATTCCCAAGATTTATCTTCAAAATGTTGGATGTCTGCAGCTCTAGGGTTGTCTTGAGTCTGCTAATATGGCTATTGTATATGTGGATTATGCCATTATATTTATAATTCCATGAGCATGGGCCATCTTGAGACAGAAGCAGAAGAATAATACATAATTTACCTGTATTGCTTTGAATCTCAGTATTTCATATTTAAATCTACAAGATCATCATGTTTATGTAAAAACATCCATCGCAGCTGCCGATCTTATAGTAAGTACATCAAAGCAAATTAAACCGAACTCAAAAGCAAAGTGAGGAAAAGTTATTTATTGGATTTTTATCCTACCTTTATTTTTGATCAACACAAAGCTGTGTAGATGCTTAATGGTCTTGTCTCCTGTTTTCCCCACAATAATCCTGTGAGGTGAGTTAGACTGAGAGTTGTTGTTGTTAAGACCATACGTTGAGTTGCAGATCAAAGACTTAGTGCTCAGGCCCATAGCAATCTAGTCAACTAAAGTTCAATACTAAACTGGCACCAGATAAGGGTCAACAAAATTCAAGGGGAGATTGGATTTGGATAGTTTCTGGCAATGTAACGACACTTAACAATTCTACCTGCTGTTCTCCTACATCTGGCCAGCTTTGATACCTAGGAGAAGTTTAGATATCATGGTCTTCTGGTTTCTAGCCTAGCACCTTTGCCACTACACCAAAGGGCCACTAGTCTTTTAAATATGTACTGTTGTTTTCGTCTTAATGCATAGTGCTTTTAACAATATTCAAACTAGCATCAGTTTTTGCTTCAGGTAACCTATGTGTTATTACTATTTGTGAAATTAATTGGCATGCTAATGTTAGTCACTATGGATCACCTTCTGAGTCACTTCATTTTATGATTCTTAATTTAAATGGCAATTGGTTAAAAAAACTAGCTGAATGAAAAAATGACTATACGGGAGGAAATTATCTTAATAATGTAGCTAAGTTAATCTTAAAATTTAACCCTGGCAATATTTAAGATTCAAGTATATAAATAGTGTGATCCATCTTTTATGTGACACTTTATCAAAAGAAAATGACACAAATGACCTGCATATTTCAAAACAATCCCAGTAATTGCTACAAGGTGAAAATATCTTTATTGCTTATGTGCTTGTGTCTGTCTGTGTTTTGTTCTTCTGAGTTTCAAATTGTATTTCCTATTGCTTAAATTTATTAATTTAATTTACTGAAATGTAAGGTGTTTCCCAAAATTCTCAGCAATTTCCCTAAAAAACTAAATAACCCCAAAATCTGCAATATAAATCTTCAAAACAACATTGAAATACCATTAAGCAGTCACAGGACAGCATTAAAACACATATCTTGCATCGACCAGTCCATACTACAGCTCTAAATTTTAAGCGCACTCTTAAAAAGTTAGGTCTTCATTGCCTTTTGGAACGGCAAGAGTTTTATTATAAATTTTCTGAATTTGACCTAAATGTATCAGAATTTTCCTGCCTTTCAGAAAAGTTGCTTGCTAATGGAAATGTCCTTTTGAAAAGCAGGCATATTTTGTCCTTTCTTTAAGGAATTAAAATTAATTAAATTCACTATGATTTCCAAATCATAAAGCTTTTCAAGAGCCGACCTGATTTTTTTTTCTTATTTGAGGGAACATATTGATGAGTCTATCCTGTCTATAAGGTGCCAAATATGATATCAACGAATTTTCCTAATCAGAAGTAGCTTCTAGACAGCGGTGAAACTGATAAAACTGGGAAAAAAATATTTTGAAGACCTGAATAGAATGATATTGAAATTTATATGGCAGGGGAAAAAAGCGAGAATCACTATGAAAATGTTACAAGATGCAAGACTAAGGGGAGGATTTGGACTACCAAACTGGGAATTATATTATCAAGCAGCAGCACTATCATGGATGAAAGAATGGATTGTATTAAGAAATACAAGGCTATTGACTTTGGAGGGGCACGACTTACAATTAGGTTGGCATGCTTTTTATAGTACGGGAAAAATAAGGTGCATAGTCATTTTCAAAGACATTATGTAAGGAATGCTTTATTATTAGTATGGGAGAAGGTTAGAGAAAAACATTTGAAAATACCAACCTGGCTTTCAACAATGGAAGCATTAGTACATCCAAATATTATTAATATGGGAAATATTATCAGATATAAAGGGGGAATTGAAAACGAAACAAGAACTAGTAGAACAAGGGATTGATATGGAGTGGTATACACAACTGCAAATACAACCGAGATATGAAAAAGATGCAAAGTTATATGGTTTTTACTTGGAGATGACAGAATTGTATAAGATACTCACAGGAACAGATGAAAAAATGATTAAAAAATCCTATAGTTATTTACTTGGTGTTAAACTAGAAGAAGAACAAGTAAAAGAAACAATGATAGCATGGGCAAAAAATTTTGGATACACAATAGAGTTAGATAAATGGCAGCAATTATGGGAAAGAATGGCTATAGCATATAAAGAGAACTTATATAAAATGTTTTATAGATGGCACATGTTACCGGAAAGATTGGCAAAAATGTTTAAAGATAAATCAACTAAATGCCACCAGACACCAGGATCATATTATCACATGTGGTGGACATGTCCAGAAAAGAGAAATTATTGGGCAAAAATTCGAATATGGTTAGAGAAAATGACACAGCAACATATTGATCTTAAACTGGAGCTATTCCTGTTGGGTATCTGACTGGAGAAATTTAGTAAAGAAAATATATATTTTATTATACATGTAATAACGGCAGCAAGAATGATATTTGCACAAAATTGGAAAGCAGAAAAAATTCCTACAAAGGGAGAGGTAATTAAGAAAATATTAGAATGGGCAGAAATGAGTAGATTAACATTAGCAATTAAAGAGAATGAAGAATTGGAGTATTACAACATATGGGGGCAATTTTATCAATGGATAGAGACTGAATATAGACAATAGGCAATGTAAAAATAAGAAATATGGGAAAAATATGTTGTAATACATTAAATTTAAATGTAAGAGGAAAGATAAATATGTATTAAGAAAATGATGATAAATGTTGAATATGATGACACAAAAAAATTTTGCACCCAGATGTTACAATGATTAATGTGAATTGTTTGTTTAAAAATAAAAATAAAACAATTTAAAAATAAATAAATAAATAAACAGCGGTGAAATGCACTTATCTTTGCTACCGGTTTGGAAATGGGAGCACCCACTCATGTGTGCCTCTTCTGCGCATGTGCAGAGCCTTCTGTGCATGCACAGAGAGTCAAAAATGGGACGTAATGATGCCCCAGCGGGTGGGCGGAGCCTCCCACCACCGGCCTTACCGGATCGCACGAGCCGGATTTCACCACTGCTTCTAAAAGTCAATAGTCCATAAAACTCAAATATGGAGATGTATCATGTATGTCTTTATCCTATTGGCCCTACAGCTTAAATATAGCTTCTCTGAAGAGCCAATTGAGCATCATGGTACTCAGATAATTGTCCTTTAATTGTCCTTCTCGCAAGAGATGAAAGCTTCAGTTCTAAGACTGTTCTGAAAACACACAGTGCTTCAATATACAAACATCTTAATCATGACTAAATGAATATACAGCCCTATAGTTGGCAACGACTAGTGGAGTAAAATCCACAGGGACCCCATTCCTTCCTTGCCTATAGATCAAAGCTCACAAACATTCCTAATTAATAAATAATCCACTCAAAATCCAAATATGAGCAGTGGCTAACTCACTGCTCACTCCAGGAGTTCGATTCTCACCGGCTCAAGGTTGACTCAGCCTTCCACCTTTCCGAGGTTGGTATAATGAGGACCTAGATCACAGATGTCAAACTCACCGCATCACGTTGCCATCATGTGACGTTTCGCAATGTTTTTCCCATTTGCAGAACTGGGGTGGGCATGGCCTGCACGGGATGCATTCGGCCCACAGGGCGCCAGTTTCACCCCCCTGACCTAGATTGTTGGGGGAAATATGCTGATTCTGTAAACCGCTTAGAGAGGGCTGTAAAGTGCCATGAAGTGGTATATAAGTCTAAGTGCTGTTGATATTTTCTCACCAAGTTCATATCTCAATCAGTATCATAAGACATTGTTTTAATACAAAACGAAAAGTAAAGCAAACAGTAAAAGAGCTCTCTAATATCTGAGCAAATGAGAAGAGGCAGTCTGCAAGACAGCATTGCATTTATGCCAATGCAAGCTTTTTAATTTTCTGCAGGATTAACAGTGGTTTATCACAGAGGCCAAAATCCTAAACTGGAACTCCAAATGTAACTAGATAAAGTTCTTCTGGCCATGACTGATGCCAGAGTAACAAGGAATCCTGTTATATTTCAAAACTGTGAAACTGTGCACTCTCAAAAACATTTACTAGAAGATGCTGCAAATCTAACCCCACTTTACCTCGTGACAGTATGCCACCCCAAACCAGGCACCCTTTCAAATGGCCATTGCTGAGTGTTCTGGGAATTGGAATTAGCCATGCTAGAAATTTTAAAAATTAAATGCTAGCACAAACAGGAGGTACCCGTTGAAATGGGTTGTTCTGAATATAGGAAAGCAATTTAATTTGGGCCTACAAATCTTGTTCAGTGAGATTGGTGAGCCCTGGTGGTGCAGTGGCTAGAATGCAGTATTGCAGGCTAAATCTGCCCACAGCCAGGAGTTTGATCCTGATGGGGCTCAGGATGACTCACCTTCCCTCCTTCCAAGGTTGGTAAAATGAGAACCTAGAACAGTGATGGCGAACTTGGTGCCGAAAAGGGAGTGCGCGCACGCACGCATGTCTGGGCTGCAGAGGAGCTGCCCAGGGCACATGTGCACACCGAAAAATTAACTTCCAGTTTCAGCTACTGAACTTCCGGTTTCAGCCAGCTACTCTTCCGGGTTTCTGGCGTGCATGCGCACACGATGATCAACTGGACAGCGCGCATACTCACACAGGAAAATGGAAGACCAGCTCTTCTAGTTTCCAGCACTGCTGCATGCAAAAAGGCCAGCTGATCATCGCACATGCATGGGCGCTAGGAACCAGAAGAGGAACAGGTGACGCCGCGCATGCCAAGTGACATGGCTCTGCATGACACTTCAGGCACACGTGTGCCATAGGTTCACTATCATGGACCTAGAATGTTGGGGATATTGTTGCTAACTTTGTAAACCGCTCAGAGAGTGCTGTAAAGCACAATGAGCGGTATATAAGTCTAAGTGCTATTGCTGTTGGAGGGAACCACAAAATGATATCTTCCATTTCTAATCCTACCAAATTTAGCTTTAGCATACCATGATTTTAAAGTTGAAAAGTATAGCTCCATCAGCAAAGGCAAGCCACCTATAGGACTAAAGCTATGATATCACATAGAAAGGTCTCAACCCAAGTTGATAAAGTTAGTCTTCCTCAATCTTCTATCTTCCATGCATGCTTGATTATAGTTTTGAGGCTTTCTAGCAAACATAATAATTGAAATTCATTTCAAATTGGGAAGTTCGGTCTAGATTATACAGAATCAAACAGCCGAAGCAATTTCATTTTTGTACTGTACAGTAAATCTGCCTCTGTGAATAGAAATGAAATCCATTAACTCAATAGTATATGCTTCTGAATAGGTTTAGAATCTGAATTATATTCACTAAAATGCTTTCAGGAAAAAAAAGTGCCATCAAACTTTGAGAACTGTTTTTGAAAAAGAAAAGACATCCAACTAGGAAGGAAAAATATCACGTTCATCATGATCTCATTAATAACAACTAAAGGATCATGGAATGTAATTTAGTTCTATTAATTTGCTATAATGCTGCCATACAAGTGTTGAGGTTAGAATATTCCAATAGTAAAGTGAGTGCAATATCCCCAAATATGGCTTTAAAATGTTTGAGATCTGTTATTAAAACAGATATATAAAGATCAGCCAAGTGAAAACAAAATATAAAAATATTGCTAGCTCTAAATAAAACCGCAATATGAGAAATATTTGAAATATCACTTTCATATAAATCACCAGCCTTGCCAAATAAAGACAATTTAGCTTCATTTGAATAATACTTCTGAATTGGAATTGTTATCTAAGCACAAATGTTTCCTGGTGTGTTACTGCAAACACAAAACACTACATTTTTGCTCATTACAGTTAATTACAGTGCAAACCTCCTATAATTAAGTATGCCACAGTATTTCAGTCCAAAGTGAACCATCGCTTGCTCGTCCCTTTAAAAGCAATGGGTTTGTGTCGACATGTTCAAGATGTTTCCTCATAATCTAATAATCACATTTGTAAAATTATATTATCACTCTATTTATTGCATCTCCTTCTCTCCTCCCATTGAATGGATTCCCTGCAAGTCAAGTTTTAGAAAACAACAGCACAACCCTTTAAAAGTCTGCTTTATACAATAACAAAGGGGCAATTGTCTGACTACAACAATCTAATTTAATTATACATGCATGGAATTCTTACACTGCATTATTAAGAATTTCTTCCCCCGGGTTTTACCACACTGTCCATATTACAGCAAGACTGCAGGCGAATGTTATGCGCCCCTTTGCTCAGTGCCCTCCTCTTGCTTTTGAAACCAGGAGACCATAATCCTCCCTTTGTGACATCAATCATTTGCTGTAGGCCTGATGTGCCAGACTCTATGGGACAAGCTTTGCTTTCCCTGCTCTGAAGGAGAATTAGCTTTGTCATCATCCAGAGCCCTAAAATGTATCGTGTCCTGAATATGGTTTGCCAGGCAAGAATAGATGTCATCATGGCTGCATAGATGTAGCATCTGGACGTCTTGCCTGTTAAAATCTCCTTGTTTCATGCTCATTTATCAAGCCTGCCGTTTAAAACTATGGAGAAGCTAAAGAAGTTCAAAGTTCAATTGGGACCGAGGCCAGCATTTGCCTTCCCAAATCTTTAGCTTTGATCTTCTGTATTTTATAGAAAAGGAAATGGATGGTCCTGAACTTAGAATAAAGAAGAACTTTATAGCAAAAATACTTTGCAATATAGCAAAAATACTTTGCAAGTTAAATAGTGGGGGACGGGACTAAAACATAACAAACAAATCTGAAGTTACAGGAGAATAGAGACAATAGAATATTTGTTTATTTATTTATAAAATGTATTGACCATCCATCTTACCGCAGGATAACTTTGGATGGTTGTTGGATTCATGATACATTTCATGAAATTACCTTAAAAATAACAGCAATCACTTTCCATGTCTCATTTTTCCTTCTTTCTATGGTATGGTTCTGCTTGAGTTGCAAACTGTCTACACAACTTTATTGAACTGCCAGCCTCTTGAGCACATGATTATTGAATCTCTGAGTGAACAACTACATGTTCAGATACTCCCTACCAGAAGCTTACTAAATGCCCTCTTTTCCTTCTCAGGAATCTAGGAACGATAGACATCGCTTGGCTGTGTATCACTGATTTCCCCCACCTCCCCCCCACCCCCAAATTCTAAGTACAATAGCAAAGAAAATTGTCCATAATTCATTTAATATATCGATTTTGAATATGGGAGAAAGAAAACAAATATTTCCAATTCCATGTATGATTTTGTTTTTCCCCAGAAGAAAGTCCCGTTGATTTCAGTAGTTTTATCTCCCAACCTCCCAAGCAAGTGAGCACAGAATTAAAACGCTATATACCAATAATTCTTATGGGGTCTTTAAAACACATTTAGATTTTATCTGTGTATCCCAGCATTGTATGAACATGTGTGTGCATCAGGACTGGAAGAGTGGAAGCTCATTTACAATTTCCTATAAAATTACAAACAACATTTTTGCTCTAATTCGGCTCCTCAAAGACCAGCAAAAGCAGACCACAGCCTCTCTCTGAACACAGGCTCTGCCTCCTCCTCCCCCCCCACCTCCCCCACTCTCTAATCACTCAGAAGGAAGATTGGAAGATTAGTGAGGGAAGGGGGAGGACAAATTGCAGTTAACCCTTTAGCTGAATAATACCCCATGATGATCTAAATGTATGATCTAAATCTATAGGTTGTGATTTTTTGCTCCTTTACTTAGTTTCAAGTCCCTCCGAACTCAGAAGGACTTACTTCTGGCAAAGCTTTTGAAGAATCATCAATCTGAAATACTGCTATTGTAGTTGCTTTTAAGATAACCCAACTCTGTGGGAGGGGGCAGAGTGGGAGACCTCAACTGGAAGTAGACAAAAAATCACAGTAATGAGGATAATGTTTGAGTTCATAGATTTAAGGCCTCTTACATGGTCATAGCAAAGGGCAAGAGATCACCTCCAGAAACAGCATCCAGAGTTTTTATCAGTGCGCCATAATACTGCAATCATTTTGGCAGGAATTTCATATTCCTCAGCTCTGTTATTCATGTCAAGATATATTTCACAGTAGCGGAAGCTATAATTGTTTTTTTTTAAAAAATATCTAGCCCTCAGCGTTATGGATGATAAAGGTGAACTGATTTTCCAGCTACTGCAATATGAGAAAGGAGCAAGATACAAACAAATAAAAGTCGCTTTCCGTTTTAAAGCATCACTTTTCCCAGAAATCTTCCCATTGACAAGCCCGGCAAGCAGTTGCTATGGGGCTTGAGGTAGGAGGAAGAAAAAGAGTGTGGAGAAGGGTTGCACACTTAATCATTGCAGAAAAGGTTGGCCTATTTCACAGAAAGATCTGGATTTCAACTCTGTCCCCAAGAAAATTGCAGGGACTGCAGAGCTGCTGCCATGCAGGGCAACAAGAAAACAGGCGATCAGAGGCAGCAGCTGGAGATGGAAACGCCTATTAAATCCTTTAGACAACAGATGGGCAAAGCTCATCTCTCTTTTTTTTTTTAAAAAAAAAAAAAGGAGAGCAAAACACAATGCACCATGTTTTATCATCCCACCATAAGGAACAACTCTTAACACCAACCAGCTTCCCAAAAGACCTATTCTAGGCTATGAATGCCAGAACCTATCTATCTTACTTTTTTTATCTCTCAATATGACACTTCAGAAAACCTGAAATTTACTCTGGGGTCCCTCAATCAAAGGCTGCCAAACAAGGGGGCCAACTGGACTTGTTACCAAAAATGGAGAAGAAAAATATGGGAAATCTGGCAGACAAGAGATTTGTCATGTTTGCCAGAGCCCTTTCTTTGCCGTTACTCTTTGCCTGCCCTTGAAGTGCATCTAGTGCTGCAGAGAGAACCAGCCAGTCCAAACGTTGAATACATTGAGGGGACCTAATTATATCATTGAGGGCAAACACACCTGCTCCCGGCTAATGCCCCACACTCTCTTTCCTTCTGTTAATATTCCTTGCCATTGTTCTTTTCAGAGAACCACAAAACAACAAATCTCTGGCATCTGACTGCAGAACAGGGAATCTTCCTCTAAGCAGCAGAAAATTGGGGTTAGTGGGAAAACAAAATAAGACATCCAGGGCAGGATTTGCAATTCTTTCTTTTTCTTCTTCTTCTTCTTCTTCTTTTCCTAGTGACCACCCCTTCCCATTTTGGTTGCCTTCCAAATCATCAACAAAGACAGTGCCATAAATTGCACTCTATGTGTTCTCTCCTCTTCCCCACACCTCTACTAACTGCACCTTCAAGACTACACCCTTTTCAATCATGATGTCATAAAACACTGCTGGTGACTCCCCGTTTCCTCCTCCTCCTCCTCCTCTTGATCCACAATTCCTTCTTCTTCTTTTTTTAAGAAAAGAAATGAAAGCCATGCACTGAATCCAAGCCAAATTGACCAGCAGCTGAGCATCTCTCTCTCTCTCCCCCACCCCCCAATTCTACCAGCCCCTCCCCACCAGCACTTTGACTGTCATCAGAACACCACCCCTTTCCAGGAGTGATCCACACAAAGCAAGCTGGGCTTTAAAACAAGATGCAAATCACCCCCAAATCTTTACCCCCCACCTCCAGAAAAAAAAAAGGAGCCACACAAGGCAAAGGAACCACTCGATCGCAAGACGCCACAGCGACAAACAAGGAGGGACCGGCGAGGCCGGACTCTCCCATCTCCCGTGTCATGTCCGCGACTGCCACCTTCTTCTCCCCTGGGTTTGCTTTGCTGCTGCTGCTGCTGCGGCTGCCGAGGTAACCCACCTGTCTGCCCTTTGCCCAGCGTTTTCTCCAAGCGGTAGGGTCCAACATATTGCGCGTGTTGAGCTCCGCTGCCTTCTTTGCCAGTTGATGTCATTTCTACCCGGGCTGGGTAACGCTTTGCGATGCTGCGCCTGGTATCCCGCTTGGGGAAGCTCCTGGCTCGTTTTTTTGTTTTTTTCGTGGCTGATTCCTTAAAATTCCGACTTGGCCGCTGTGCAAGGAAAGCGCCCGGTGTCTCGCTCTCGCTCTCTGACTCTTCTGCTGATCCTCGTCCACTTGGTGGAAAATTAACTCTCTCTCTCTCTCTCTCTCCTTTTTTTTTTCTTCTTCTTCTTCTCCCCCTTCGCTTTTTCTCCTCCTTTCTCCTCCTCCTCCTCCTCCTCCTCCTCCTCCCTGTCTGTCCTGCTAGGGAAGGGATGCCCAGGAACACTTATTAGCCGAGGCTTAGGGGTGGGGGAAATCTCCGAGCATCCGAAGCATGATGCCGGTTCTCAGCACTCGCACGCTTTAGTTCGCTCTAGGAGCTGCTCAGCGGGAGCTGGATGAAGCGGAAGCGCTGGGGCCCGTCGCTCCGACTGACATTAGGCGCAACCAATCCCTGACAGCATCTCGGCCCGTCTCCCCACCCCTCTCCTCCTCTTCATCCACTACCTTTTCTTTTCCATCAGCATCGGTCGCGGCGGCTGCTTCTGCCTCGGTGCCGAGCATCGTATAACCAATGGCAACAGCCGTCAGACGGCGAGGGGATTCGTCTCATCAGGACAGTGGCTGATCCCGTTTTCAAACTCTGCCCTGTTTCAAACTTTGTCTGCATAGCAGGAGGGCGGGAGAGCTACCCGGCTCTCTTTATCTGATGGATCCAAGCCAATTCTGCCCTCCATCCATCCATCCATCCCCAATCGCACTGAAAGGGTGCTCGGACTGGGATGCCAAAATCACAGGGAGGGCAAAAGAAAATTAAACTGGGAACATGAATATTAAGGTTCTTCCTCTCCCCCCCCCTCACTTTTTTTTTTTTAGTTGAAGTAAGTCCTATAAGAAGAGAGTCAAGTGGAATTGGCTTGTAATGAATTTCAGGGGAGTTAGCTGATCTAATATATATATATATGAAAAGGCAAAAACTGAACCTCAGCAGGGTAAAATCTTGTTGGAGTGAGTAAATTAAGTTGAACTCAACTGAGGAAAAGACAAAATTTCATCTGAATGACAAACTCTGCAAGAAGCCAATGTGATCTTCAGTACATGCTGTAAATTAATGTTTCCCAAATAACAGGATGGTTTTAAAATGGAATATTGATATAAAGCACTATCTTGTTTATACTTAAGCAATTCAGACAACAGCCTCTCACATTTCATAAAACTAACAAGTAATACAAGCTCTAGACTGAAACCAGCAACAGGTGCTCTTAGACGATCTTCATGTAGCTGAAGAAAAATAAGCCGCTTTTCATTTTTGCATACAGTCTAGGATAGTCCTGTTCCATATAATACACATGAACTTCTAAATCTTCTGTGACCTGGCTCCAGGTTTTCCATCATTAACCCCACTGTTCATCTATGGCAGTGGTTCTCAACCTGTGGGTCGTGACCCCTTTGGGGGTCGAACGATCCTTTCACAGGGGTCGCCTAAGACCATAGGAAAACACATATTTTCGATGGTTTTAGGAATAATTTTATGGTTGGGGGTCACCACAACATGAGGAACTGTATTAAAGGGTCGCGACATTAGGAAGGTTGAGAACCACTGATCTATGGAGATTCTCAGTCATCCAAGTCATGATTGTCCCAAAGGTGCTTTTTCAAGAGGCAAGTTGACTTTCCTGTTTTTATATAAATCCTTCCATTCCCCACCATCCAGTCAGAGTTGAAGAAGCTTCTTGGATGAGAAGCAAAATGTCTTCAAAGAAAAACAAGACAGTCCAGTTGCCTCTTGAAAAAGCACCATTGGGACAACCCCATTGTTCATTTAGAATGAAAAGTTACCTGGGGCAATAATGTCTCAGTTTTGACCTAAGATTATGGATCTCCACTCTAAGGGATGTTTAGTCCAGATCCTATCCACTAAACCAAAACAGTGTTTAGGATTCTATAAAAGCACTTCCACGTGGAATTTCTGTTACCGCTTGGAAGTAGCCTAGATCTTCCCTTTCACAGAATGACAGTAGACTCCAGGAGCTGAACTGATTTATTATTATCAATTCTGCTGCAACACTGTACATGCAAAATCACAATAAATCTGGTGTTCTCTCCTGATGCATTACAGCCTGGCAGAAGTTTTAGGCAACCTGGGAACTCTCTCATCTCACCCCACCTCTCAGTTCTTTTCTTCCACCTCTTTTCTTTTCTCTGTTCTCAGCATTTCAGAGTGATCCATGATGAAGATAACTATGGGTCAATTTCACATGGTGGTGGACTAGTAGATCTCTTACTCAGATGTCTCCTGGATTCTATTCTTCTATTTGCCCCCACCCCCCCAGGTACTGAATTATTAATTACCCATTTATTTTATTGTTATGCTACACTGGCTTTCCATGAAGTATTTCATTCAGTCACTTGCAAGACCCTCAAAAGAGTGTTTTGGAAACATGCTGATCAATGGTTATAGCGTGGTCTTAGCAGTGCAGTATAAAGCAGTACTAACGCTTTACTTCTATCCTAAACCAGTCTGGGAATTGTGGTCTAAATATAATAGGAGAGAATAGATTCCTCACTCCCATTCTAATGAATATTAGATTCAAAAAGAACCATTTTGACCATGCATCCCAATCTCTTGCTCAGCGCATGTTCTTATTTTAATTAATGGTTTATCTAGGGCAGTGATGGCGAACCTTTTTGACACTGAGTGCCCAAACTGGAGCGGGAGTGCATGCATGCATGTGTGTATGTGAGTGCACTGGAGCGCCAGAAACTCAAAGACCAGCTGACCAGCGCATGCATGCCTGTTTTTTGGCCATTTTGGGTAGTTTTTTGGGCCACTTTTGGGCTGTTTTCAGGCCATTTTTGGGTCAGTTTTGGGCTGTTTTGGGACAATTTTCAGGCCACTTTTCAAGGCATTTTTGGCTCAAAAAATGACCAGGAAAACGGCCTCTTTTTTGGCTGGTTTTGGCCATTTTCAGGCTGTTTTCCAGTGCTCCAGCACCTGTGAAGACCAGCTGGCCAGAATGACAGAAATCAGAAGAGCAACTGGCAACGGCATGCATGGCCACAGAGAAGGCTCTGTGGACACGTGCCATAGGTTCGCCATCACGGATCTAGGGCTCAATGAAGACAGCATGTTGCTCTCAGATCTTAATCGCATGATTGTAACATACATAATATTTTGTGGTACTGAAATACTGTTCAATAGTAGAATGACAATTACAGTGCAGGGGGAAGAGGATTTAACTCCATATTACAGGCTTTCTCCCAAAGGCGTTATTTGTTGTAGGGGACACCAACCAATGAACATTTTCCTCCTGGAACAAACAATAGAGTGGGAAGAGAAATGGTCAAATCCTCTCCTTGCATGCTGTGGTCCCAAACCTGACTGGGGAGCCCCCACCCCCATCTCATAGCTTATTAAATTTAAACAATTAGCATTCTGGTTAAGCTTAAAGTTTACATATATTGCCTGCTTTCCTGCCTTCCTATGGAACATAGCATTCTTTTGAATTTAAATATTACTAACATTATACCAAAATACTTTTATATATGTTTGAAATTATTTTGTAATTATATATTGTTAAAATATTTTCTAAAGATTTAATATAGAATTTAATTTTTAATATTTTTTTCAGCTTCATTGTTTCTTCACTGAATTTGAGAAAATCCCTCTTCTCACTACCTGCCTTAATTTAATCCAGTTTTTCCCAATTTAGGGGCCATTTGACAGAGAATGATAGAAACTGAACTGCAATACATATGGAGGGCCCAGATTTTGGAAAGCTGATCAGATGTTTACAAAAGTGTTTCCCTTCTCTCTGTACATGTTTTTATCTTTTATATTTCTGTTCTGCACTCATTTCATTTGTCTTTTTCTATACCTTCTACTCCCAGACATAAAGGTTCAACATTTTCAAACAACATGGTATGTTTCCCTTCATTGAAATAGTCTGTAAAATATTGATGGCATCTTAAATGTATGAGCTTTAGTTCTCAGAATTGGTTTGAAGAGAAATGTTGTTTTTTCCTCTGGCTTTTCCTGCAGTTGTGTAAGGCCATCATTTGTCTTAGAATCCTCCCATTCTGCATGTGCAAGTAAAACAATACCAAAAATCCCAACAACTCTTTTTTTAAATTTAATTTAATTTAATTTAATAATTTAATTTAATTTAATTTAATTATTTGTTCGTTCATTGGTTTGCTTGCTTGCTTGCTTGCTTGCAAAAGCTATAGGCAGGATACCCATCATGCTAAAAGAACAGCTACTTATTTGTATCACTCACTGACTTGTTCATAACACAAGTAAGGATTCTTATCAGCCAGGAGTTAATTCACTTATATTCACTTTATGTACTATCTCTCACTTCCAATTCTTTGTACCTTTGCAACAAGCCTTTCCACTGACTGTATTTAACTGCAATTTTGTTGATGCCAGCTTTACATGCAAGACTTATTTTTTTATAGTTTCACAAATTTAAATTGTTATAGGTTGTTTTGATCATCTGTTCATCTGTCATATCTATTTGATTACTGCTTCAAGTGGCTGCAAGTCAAAGAGCTGTTACGTTTTATTGCTGAGATGTTTTAATGTGTGTGTGTGTGTGTGTGTGTGTGTTTCTAAGTTTGATTATTTACAGTTTTGCATACTTAGATTTTAATTGGCTGTCAATTAAATCGTATATATGAGTCTTTATAAAATCAGTCCCTTTACCACATCACATGATTTGCAGTTTTATATCAATTATGAACTGAATTTGAAATGAGTTTTTAAAATTCTGCTTTAAATGTTTCCATGCCATGATTAACATAGCAATTTAGGGACAATCCACAATAAGCAGGATGAGGTACTAAAAATTTCAGCAGAAGGACTATCACACTAGTAGAAGGGAAGTCATGGCTATAGTCTGTAAGATATATGTCAGCATGATGGTGGTCTGTTTTGGATGCAAACACACTGGCAGGTCTTTCTAAGTAGGTCAGTAGAACTTAGCTGATGGCAGCATTCTGCCACTGAAGATCCATCAGAAACAACAGTGGAATATGGACAGCACCAAGGACTATCATTTTTACACTCTACTGTGTACCATTTCATCCAGAGGTGGTATTCAACAGGTTCTGACAAGTTCTGGAGAACCAGTAGCAGAAATTTTGAGTAGTTCGGAGAACCGGTGGTAAAAATTCTGACTGGCCCCGCCCCCATCTATTCTCTGCCTCCCGAGTCCCAGCTGATCGGGAGGAAATGGGGATTTTGCAGTAACCTTCCCCTGGAGTGAGCTGGGAATGTAAATTTTACAGTATCCTTTCCCTGCTACGCCCACCAAGCCACACCCACCAAGTAATGCCAAACCCACCAAGCCACACCCACAGAACTGGTAGTAAAATAATTTGAATCCCATCACTGACTTCATCCATAGCTTAAGTTCCATTGCTAACAAAATCTTTAACCAGTCCTGGACATTACAGTGAGAATTTCCCTCTTATTAACTTCAGTGAAACACTTAACAAA